TCTGGCGTGGGCTGGTCCATGAGGTCACGAAGAGTCGGAGATGACTGAACGAATGAACAACAACAACACATGAATACAGGAGGCTTTCCTCATGTTAAGGAAGGCATGCAAGCAAATTATATACATGGCTGTTGAAGATTGGCAGTGCCCGTTTTTTTAAAAAACAGGAACTTGAATGGGTTTTAAATGTTTTACCCAGTTTACAAGAGGATTAACCCATCACTATTCTTCTGTGACTGCTATTTTGGAATTTTGTCCCTAGAACTCATAGCATTGATAATTCCTACAATAATAAAATACAACAGGTAGAACCAGTGCCTCGATATCTGTTAGTTTATTCATGCCCTGATCATTTTTGAGATCTTTATGTTTGCATACACTAAAGAAGCATGCACCATTGATAGTAAATCTCTTATCTTAAAATAGTTTTCCTGGAAGAATCCATTGAAAAGTTGTTTGCTAGTCTTATTCATTCAGAAGGTACCTTTCTGAAATGGCTAGTCATAGATGAAGTAATTTAAACATCTGGGTCTCTATTATTTTTCCACAACTTCTTACAAGAGGTTTTTCTTTGGACTCTGTTTCAGTATAAACATAATCAGGCCTTTTTTCACTTCATCAATGCATTTGACTGCTGTTACTTGAGGGTTGCTTGCTGCTTTAGGAAGTCCAGATTGTTATCATGGAAAACCGGAGCAAGGGAATAGGAAAGTCGTTCTTAAAGCTAATATCAAACAAAGCAACCCTTGTGATTTGATCAGGCTGTAACATTTCACACTGCCTCTGAGGACCTTGGATCCTGCAGGAAGCAGAGTGCCTGTTTGAAGGCAGAGATGCTTACAACAGCTTCCTGTGCTTTTACCTCATCAACCACTCATGTTGTGAAATAGAGAGGTTCTACCATGTTTTTGGCCTTGATTGCAGATTCACTGTTTTCTTGCCCAATCTTCCTCTGGTTGCTTCACTTTCCTGCTTTACTCCCTTGCTTTTTCTGGCTCAAGCTGTAATGTTACAATGTACTCCTCCACAGTATACAGTTATAGCACTTTGAGATCACTTTGCCATTGCTGCATCTTATGGAATGTGGACAGGCTCTGGTTTGTTGAGCCACGAGAGCTCTGTGGTAGATGACTTAAAAACTTCAGGGAAACTTCAAACCCCGAGCTTCCATAGGATAGAACCATAGTAGTTAAATAGTGTCAAAGTGCCAGCATAGTTTAGTGTGACAGACACCTGCATCTCTGACAGTCTGTTGAAGTTATGCAGCAGGCTCTCAATGTAACTGATCTCCTGCCACATTTGATTGTGAGTTTCATCACTGAAACCTGGTTGCATTTTTCAGCCAGTGGCATAGTAGACCCAGACTTAACCAGTATATCTTTTTCTCTCTGAATCTAGGCTGTCACTCTGATCCAGAGATATGGCATAAAATAAACTGCTTGCAATATATAAAACATATCACAAGTGAATATATCTTGAGCATTATGTTTGTTTGGAAATATGTTTCCCTGCTTATCTTCTCAAGCTAATATTTTTCTTCATTTATTTGGATACAGTTGTCTCCTGAAGAAGAAGAGAAGAGGAGAATTAGGAGAGAGAGGAACAAACTAGCAGCTGCGAAATGCCGGAACCGACGCCGAGAGCTGACGGAGAAACTCCAAGCTGTATGTATTCCATCCCAAAGTCTGTTCTTTTCTGGGTATGCTCACTTCAAGCAATTGAGTTAGCTGTTGTAAAGTGTGCATATCACATTCTGAAGAAGTAACCTCTTTTAGTGGGCATGTGAGTTGGGAGAATAGTATAACATAAGTTGATCTAGTGCAGCAGAATAGAATGTGAATGTCAAGACAAGTCTGCCTGACTCTTTCCCTTTTTGATGTGGCACAAATTGTTATTGCTATTGTTTGGAAAATGCAAAAAGATAATATGACTGTTATCCTATGCAATTTTCCTCAAGCTTGCTCTCCTCTCCAGTATATACATAGTTTGATATCCACCCCACATGGTAACATAGGGTATTAGGATACGTTCCCAAATTCCAATTGATCAATAGCAATATCAACAGACACAATAGTTTGTGGCACATTACATATGTTGTCACAATTATAGGTGTAACAAGGGAATTCTCCCTGGAGAACTTCCTGGCTTTAAGGGAACCCGCTCTGGGACAGGCGATTTATTGCTTTACCTCTTCAAGATTACTGTCATCTTGTTGGACCTGTATAATCTTTCAAGGTTTATAGTCAGGGATTTCTGTATCCTGGTGTGCTCTGACACCACCCTCCCAATCATTCAATTGCTGCATATCTAGTTCTTTGATAGTAATTCTGCCAGGGTGTTTGAGGAAGTAGATCGAAATCTACAAAACCTAAACCAATTAGCTTTAATGGTGCTGCTAGTTTGTTTCCCAACTCTTTTCTTTTTTCTTTTAATAGGGAAGGTGAGGGAGACTGTCAGTGTCTCTCTCTGCTCTGAGTCTTTTCCCACTTCTAATATATCATAAACTGACGGAGTGAATGTTATATGTGGAATACATTAAAATAGGGCTCTTACTACAGTGTTTCTCAAACTCTGCTCCTCCAGTTGTTTTGGACTTCAACTCCCAGAAATCCAGCCAGCTGTTAGGAAATGTGGGAGCTGAAGTCCAAAACATTTGGAAAAGAGCACAGATTGAGAAACACTGCCTTATTGGGATGCAGTAGTTGAGGATATTGAAAATACTTTGTTTTGCCCTCTGAGGTTTAACACTGAGAATGGTAGATGGTTTAGTTGCTTTTAAGGGAAACATTTAGTTGTTTGAGATATTGTGTTTCAGACTTGTTTGAGCCAATGTTTATTTATAAAAAAGGAGTAGGAAATGTGAGGTTGTTAAGACTAGGAGTGGGGCAAAGTGAGTTTCAAAAGGTTTTTTATGTATTACTTTTCTCCGTTGGCAAGTCAACACTTGAGGCAAGTTTTCAGTCATGCATTTCCTGTCTGTCTTCCAAAATGTATAGTTGTTCCTTCAGTGGTCAACCAAGGTCACCTACATCAATGCTTCTCAAGATGCCTGATGGAGAGGATGACCAAAGATTTCTTCCCAATGTGCCATGGGCCAACACCATATTTGTTCCCATAATGATAACAATTTCCTTCTTTTTTGGAAACCTGATAGGAAGTGGCAGCCAGTGATTCTAGGATTTATAGTGGTCCACCGAGTTAGCATTGGGCTACATTAAAATCATTGGGTTGGATTTATGCTGAAACAGATTTGAATGAATGAGAGTAGATTAGTCCTTTTGATATTATAAAAACTAAATATTAATTATTGATTCAGTCTAATGAATTGGAAGAAGTCTCAAATATAATCTAGGCTTGTCCCCCATTGATGCTAGAAATATATTAGAAGTTGGATATCCATTAACTGAAATACTTGAGAACAAAAGTATTTTTGGATTTCACTTTTTCAGATTTTGAAGTATTTGCATATTCAAAAGATATCTTGGAGATGGTATCAAATCTAGACACTAAGCGATTTATGTTTCATGCTAACTTGATAAGCATAGCCTTTTAATAATTGTGTGCATGAAATCAAAAATAAACTGAACCACCAGAAAGGAAAGGTATTACTATCTCAACTACCCATGTGGACAGTTGTGAATTTTTGGGCATTTTGGATTTCATATTTCCAGATACATGATACTCAACCTGTACTATAGTTGCTGCAAAACAGCAATATATACTACCTGTTTATCAGATTTCCTGTTTTGACTCAGGATGCGTTGCTATGTGTTCATGGTCACTTTCGCTTGTATCTGTAGGAAACTGAGGAGCTGGAGGAAGAGAAGTCTATTTTACAGAAAGAAATTGCTGAACTGGAGAAAGAGAAGGAGAAGCTGAAATTCATGCTAATGGCTCACACCCCCATGTGCAAGATCAGCCCAGAGGAATGCCGAACTCCACCCCCTCACAACCTCCAGACCATTCGAACTGGAATGAGTGGTGCCATTGTGGTGAAGCAGGAACCTGTGGAAGAAGAGATCCCCTCTTCCTCTTCTGACCTTGAAAAGGGTCAGCGGTCTGTCATCAAACCCATCAGCATTGTAGGAGGATTTTATGGAGAAGAGCCTCTCAACACTCCAATTGTGGTGACCTCTACACCAGCCATCACCCCTGGAACATCCAACTTGGTTTTCACCTACCCAACTGTGCTGGACCAGGAGTCGCCCCTCTCCCCTTCGGAGTCATGCTCCAAAGCTCACCGGAGGAGCAGCAGCAGTGGAGACCAGTCCTCGGATTCCTTGAACTCTCCGACCCTGCTGGCACTGTAACATCTTTGCCGCTGCCCCACCTAAATAGTTACTCTAGGGGGAAACCCCAGTTCTGCAATCAAAGGCCAGCACAATGGCATTGAAGCACAAGGACAGCAAGGGAAAGATGTGGAAATGATGTCGCTCCAGGTACTTCTGGTGATAGGAAGTGCCAAACAAAAGGAAGCCATATCAAGGTGGGGTGGGGGAGCAGAAGATGCAGTGCTGGGACTCAAGTGTTTAGAACTGTTTAGTTGCGGAGAAATCCCTCCTCCACACTTTAGTGCAAATGGATGTGAGCTTCACTTAATTGCTAGCCATTCTCTTGTTTTCTGAGAAATGGACTGGTTTAACCAGGTTCCCTTCTGTGCTCAGTACTACATTCCAGTTAGTCAATCTCATGCGGGCCTTAACCTGTTCTGTTGAGTACCATGACATTTCGAAAACTCTAAAGGCTTGTGGCTATTGTTGTTAAACTGCTGCTGATGTTGGGATTCCTCCAATAGGGAATTATTGCTCTTTCAGGATGATATTGGAGAGATGGTGGCAGAGCTGAGAGGAGTAAATAACAGGTCCAAATGGTTGCTTTTAAAAATACATTCCCAGCACCTTTATTGAGATTGTGATGATGTGGAAGCAAACAAACCCAAAGGTGCTGTGTATTTTGTTGGCAAAAGAAGGAGATGGAGTGTGGAGATTAGCGTATTATTTATCAGTGCGCTACAAAGCCCTTAGAGTAGGCCAGGAGTAGAGCCAAGGGAGCTGGGGACATGCCAGCATGACTCTGCCTTTGTCTCTGGCACAGTTTCTCCTGTAATTAGTGTTTGTCAAGACTTTTGCTGGACCCTATGTTTCCTTTCCCGCTGGCTTCCAGCCACCTTGGGTGTGATACATCCTCCTCATACGCAAGCCTGACTCAGATGCTGGTGCCATTTCTTCTCAAACAAAGCCATTGGGTCCTAGATCTGTGGACCGTAGCACTGTCGTAGTACTGCCATTCTTTTTTTGTGACTGATCCAGGAAAGGGGTTTGCTGGGGTGAAAGCACAGGAAGCTAGCTGGGAGCTCTCCTGGAGAATTTCCCTACCCTACTTTTTGATGTGTTTCACTCATCAGTTCCCTGCCAAAGTTGTGTGTGTGAGAGAGATAGAAGGCTAATAGTTTCTTTGCCTCTTCTATAGCCCTGGAAAAATATTAAGAAAAATGCATCCAGTCTTGATCTTCTGCTGCACTTAGTTTTACATCCACATGGGTTTGGCTCCATTCACTACTGAAAGTGTGTGTCACTGTGTATCTCGTCTGGTGCCAAAGTGAAATCCTGTAGAGGACATTTGTACTCAATGTGCAGCTGTTTGTTTTGGCAGAGAGGCATACAAATGAATATGGCTTACCAGGTCTTCATTTGGTAGATTGTAGCTTTGTTTAAAACTGTTCTTGAAGAATATCTGATTTATCCCAAGCCAACTAAGATTCCAATGCAAGTGTATTTGTGTTTTCCAGATTGTATGTACTATCATGTTTGCTTCATCTGCCTGACCTCTGGGTGTGTTTGGCCAAATGATGCAGGGAATTCATTATGTCATTCTTGGAGTTAGCTTTCTGAACTGGGGCAGGGTCTTCAAGAGATGTCTCAACCAGGGAGCATTGCTGACTCTCTTGAAGCTTCTCTTTAACAACGAGGAACTCAGTCCTGGGCATTTGCTGAGTATTTTCAATGAATCATTTTCCATTGATTTCTTGATTCCTTTTTGATGCATCTGGATTACAGCCATAGTTTCACGCCAGCTGCTTATACATTCAGGTGTGAAGAGAATATAATTCTAGGCTTTCTGAGTGATCAGATCTTCTGGCTAGTCGTTTTTAAAAGATATAATAATTTAATGATTATTTGTTGCAGTGAAAAAAGCCATGTTATTTGATCTGAATGCTGCAGATTTTGAGTCTGCTTGGTAAATTTTTATTATTTATTGTTTCCTATGCTGGCCATAGTGAGGAGAAAAAAGCAATGCAGAGCACTGAACCCTACCTCTGGCAGTTGACTTTAAGGAACCGCTGGGCCTCTAAAAAGTTCACTAGGCATTGTCTACAAATTTTCAAGCTTCATCTTGCAGCAATAAGAGCCAGCAATTTACTTGATAGGAAAAAGAGAGAGAGCAAATAGAAACTGCGATTTTTCGGATACCAAACTCTGTACTTCAGTAATGCAAGATTTTAATCCAGAAAAACAGAAATCAGGCTGTAACTCTTGCTCCTTCACTCCTAATTTTAAATGCAAATGCCCTCAAGTAAAGTGTTCTCTTCAAAATACCAGACTCTGGGCCTTTTCCTTTTCTATATTGCTCACCTTGTATGCTGTTGTTGGGCTTCTAAACACCAGTCATTTAGTATGTCATGGAGACCTCTTCTCACAGTAGGACGGGCAGAAACGTGTACCTTTTTACAGTAGCTGTGAAAATATTATAGTAGTTGGAAAATACCACAGTTTGACTAGTCTCCTGTGTGAAGTATTTCTCACCTGTATAGGTTAAAAAATATCTTCTTAAATTCACACATTCTCTCAGCCCATATTGATTGTACAATGGCTCAGTAGAAATGTTTAGGGCAGCTCAGGTACCCTCTCTGCTGTGCTTGTAAGTGAAAAAAAAACAATTGGCAAAAGTGGAATGCATTTCAGTCAACCCTCTACTTGTGGATTATGTATCCACAGATTCAATCAACCACATCTTGGATTTTTTTTAAAAAATGTAAAAAAAGTAAATGTTGATTTTACTGTCAAACATAATACTCATGTGCAGGCATACCCAGCTGTAGCCTCCTGCCATCTCACCAGTTCTCAGGCTCTTTCTGGCATTTGTTTGAGTTGTTCATCATTTTATGTAAAGGGTGCCATTTTACTTCTCCATTGCATATAAAAGGACTTGAGTATCTGTAGTTTTGATATCCACAGGGAGTCCTGGAACCAGTTGAAATTCCTGCTCAGTGAGGGAAACCCACTGGTTGAACTTGGGCAAGTCACACTTATTTGGCCTGAGAGGAAGGCAATAGCAAACCTCTTCTGAGCAAGTCTTGCTGAGAAACCCTAGATATAGGGTTGCCATAAATGAAGAGCTGGCCCGAAGGCACGTAACAGCAGCAATTTACTCAGTGGCAGCAGAAGGAAGAAATTGGAAGAAGCAAGGATGAGAACTTGATTGTCCTGAAGCAAATAAAGCAGGACAATGTTGTGGAAGAGTGCCATTGTAAGAAGAGAGAGCTCTAGGATGGTAAACAGAAGCAATTAACAAGTGCTGTTTTTAGACAGTCATGCTTTTTTATAGAGAACTCTTCAGACCGCTTTCACTAAGCATGGATTCTTGTTTTACACCAAGAAGGTCCACATATTCCACTGAATGAAGGCTCATTGGGTTGCTGTTGCTTCCCTCCCCATTTTTCTAAAAAGTGATCAGTCTCCTTATTGCTTTAAGTATACTTAAATTAAGCCACAGTGTTTCTGGAGTGCCTTGGTGATAAATATTTTCCTTCCATGCCTTGCATTTTTTTCATTTTTCAGAATCATAGCAGTTCTGCATTTCTCCTGGTCTCCTTCTTTTCATATGTAAACATGTACACATGAAAGGGCATGCGGCACTTCTTCTCCTTGTATCACAGAGAGGGGATCTCATCTGGATCCCTCCACAGCATGGGCAGTGGCTTTTAAGACCACTTGTTGCAGTGTAATACTTTCCCTTGTTGTCGATCCTGTGTGATGGGGAGAGATTTGAGGATTGAGGTTTTGATCAGGAACCTGCAGGTGGTATCCCAAAGAAACTACTTTAGTCAAGAGCATTTCAGAAGTGCAGGAAGGATTGAATTTCAGCTATGGCTTGTGGCGATATTTCAACAATGGAAAACCTTGGCAAAACATGGTGGTTTCCGTGTCCCAGTGACAGCTCTCATGTGAGACTGGAAGAGAAAACCTTTGTAAATAAGTCAATGATGAAGCTTATTTCAACCCAAGAACATCTATCACAGTGGTTCTCAACCTGTGGGTCCCCAGATATTTAGGCCTTCAACTTCTGGGATTTCTGAGAGTTGTACGCCAAAACACCTGGGGACGCACAGGTTGAGAACCATTGATCTATCAAAACTATTCACTACATCTCTGATTCAGCACTCTGGTTCCCATGCTTTCAACTTCAGCCCCTTTATACATTTCTTGAGTAGTCTCTATGTCTTGTGATATTTTGAAGAAAACTTAGCAACCTTTCTCAAAGGAAAAGCATCTTGTCTCTAACACCAATTCACTGCCTGGTTCTCCTTCAAAATGTACCTGCTTCCCATCCATTCCAGCTTCAAGTACTTGACTGTTTCATTTGGTTTAGAACCCCATCCAACAAGCACTATTGCTTTGAGACTTCTGTTCATTTCAAAATATTTTGCCTTAGCCCTGGTGTGCCACACATAGAAGACGGTCCCAGGCTGTAAAGGATTGAGCCCTTTGGTCTGCTGTGTCTCCGTGACACTATAGGACCTGAGGTAACTATATTGTTATCAGTAAGGCTTCTTTTCAGCTTGTAACTTTTTTATTTAATTTATCTAATAATAATAAGTTCATTTGAACCTAGCAAGGAGCTATTTTGTATTCCACCTAGCCTTAATCTTAAAAAAGCACCACCACTCATTCGTTTCTTATTTATTGTTTGCAGTTCATTTTTTTGCCTGTTCCAGCAAATCTGCCCATCAGTAATTTAACATCCCTCCATCTTGTATGTCTTTGAATCCCAAAATGAATTAAATGAAAAATGCCCAAAGTATTTTATTCATAAAATGTGGGATTGTGGGTCAAATGTAAAGAATATTGGAAATGATCCCATGTATATTTTGTTATTTATCTTTATAATGTTTACATCTTTTTCTCTGGCTCAGATCTGGATTTGAAAAAGACCGTTATTTTTTTCCTGCTGATTTTAAAAATGTTGATTTTCTTTCTTTTGCAGAATAGTTACTAATGGGTTTGGGTTTATGGATTCTCTCCTCCTTTTGTGTAATTTTATTTTTGCCATGGTTGGTTCTACCTTGCAATTGGCTCTGCCACTCTTCCAAATTTATATGGAGAACTTCTGAAAAATTCTTTTGCATGGAGAAGTTGTCTGTGTGCAGTTTTCTTCAGCTCTCAATTCCTTTTGCTTGTGTGGATTATCTTTTGTTTAAGCCATAGATATTTCTGGGTGAGCAAATTTGGGTGTGGGAAGGGTGGCTACTCGGTGGTAGAGTGTGCACCCTAGCTTTGAGCCTAGCCCAAGTTAGGCTCGTGATGACCCCATCTGAAACCTTAAAGAGCTGTGTAGACACTTTACATGCTGGATGGTTGGCATGGTGCTCCCAACACTTCACTGAATATTCGAAGTTGTTGGAGGGCACCAAATTGAGAAAAGCTGTGTAAACTGAATTGCGCTAAATGGACCAATGATCTGACTCAATATAAGGCATGGTCCTCAGCTTTCTCCTACAGAATATGACTGTGTTCATGATCACAGCAATGCTCTTGTAGGTGATTAACTTCATGGATGGATCCTAGCAGGCATTTTTTTCTTGTACATATAAAAGTGCATTTCACTGGATCACAACTTTGCTGTTGTACAAGGAAAGTTAATGTGACTTTGCTGTTAAGTACAAAGAATGTTGATTCTGATGCAATGTAACCGTGCTCAGAAACCCTGATAAAAGACCATTGTTGCCCCTTGTCTTAATGCACACCATTGTTTGTGCGCATGGCTTACTTAAATGAGAAAAAACACATGCTAACAGAATAAAAAAAGCTGCAAGAGCTAACTGCAGATGATCAGGCACCTTTACATGTTCTGGAAATCAGAGGCAAAAGAAAACAAATGCATTTATGCCTCCTTGCAAGAGGGAAAAGGTAAACCAGAACCACTAAATCTGATTGGAAATTCAGAGGTAGAGAAATCCAGAAACACCCTTATGGGGAGGGGGATGTGTCTGTATAAAATGTATAAAGAGATATCTTGTTTCTAAAGATGCATTATCCATCTTCTGCAGTAGATAGTGCCAAAAGAACTCTCTCTCAATCCAAGAGATGAATCAGAACTTTTTGTTAATGTCATATGAAATGGTTATCCTTCCTTCCCACTCTGTATAATTAAAAGGTTGATCAACTCGCTTTTTTTTTGGTTGGTGTTTGATATGGGGGATAATAATGAAATTCTGTGTAGAAAATAGACGCCAGATTTGTCTTTGCTCAGTGAGCGGATCAAGTGTTGTGTGTACGTTTGTATAGAGAGATTCTACTGTGTAGTTCCAAGTGACATTGGTAAGAGATAGTGCATCTTTATTAGCACAATGTTGAATAGTGTAAAGTGGAAGACAAAAGGACCCTACTTCAATTCTGTTTACGTGACAGTGATCTTTCTTAAATGCACTCACATTAGCTGTAGGTTTGTCGAGAAAAACATTGATCTAATTGGTTCCACAACAATCTGTGTAGATTTGTAGAAATTATATTTTTTTTCACACATCAAAATGTTCTTGCTCTTTTGTCCCCTTAACCTTGAATGAAATGATTCTACAAAACACTGAATTGGAAACCTGCTTCTGATTTCTCACACAGATCTTCCTGTGATGGAGAAGTGTGGCTGATTTGTCATCTTCTCATTCTTTTCTTTGTAAAACAGGCCTCTGATATTTGCACTAAAAACAAAGATGACACAAATAATTTTATGGAAGTTGGTTAGAGGAAGACTGCTGCTACAAAAGAAGTTGGTAACTAAAATAATACACTTTTTAATGGAATAGTACCATTTTGTAAAACAACAACAACCTAGATTGAAAATATGAAGGTTTTATATGTGTGTGTGTATGTATAAAATTATAATTATTTTTTACTTCCTCTCACCCTTCATTTCCTCATTCCATCTGATGCCATTCCATGCTTTGCCATTGCTCCTTTTGTAACTATGAATGTGTTAACTGCCCTCTCTTCCATTCCCAAATTGAGATACTTGTAAATTATGCTTTCATGGCACTGCGGACACCTTTTTTGTATAGTGAGAACTAACTGGAGTTCTTTTCTCTCTTCAGTGGAAGTCATTAAAAAAATCTTTGTTATGATGAATTAAAAGTTTGATTTATTTCTGCCTTTCCATCCAAACAAACATAAATAATATTCTGGGTATTCTCAGCGTTCTCTGCAGGGCAATTCAGGAGACATTTTTTAACAAAAGAGTCCTTCACATTGCTTCTGAGAAATAGGAATATATGGTCAGTCACGAGGGAGCTAAATCAGTGCTTCCCAACCTTTTTTTTGTCCAGGGACCACTCTTCAACATTAGTACCAAAAGGGTTACAAATCAGTTTTTGGTCCACTTTGGTTTGGTTATTTGCAGTGCTGCTTCCGAAAATTGCATTGGATAGACCACATCAGCTCTAGTTTCTGATACAGAACATATGCCATCCAGTAATCGCCATCTGCTCGCTCACAGAAAATCATATTTAATGATCTAGACCTGATGAGGTAGTAGTAATCTTTTGTGGGTAGTCATCCTCTCCTCTCCTGACATCCCTATTGCCTCGGAACTATAAGAGGATTTAACAAGACCAGTCGCTCGCATTACCGCATGGTTTCAAGACAATGGTGTAGTAATAGTGAGACCGCGGACCATATTTTCATTCTTACTGAACACTGATGGTCCACGGACCATAGGTTGGGAACTACTGAGCTAAATCAAAGAATGGC